AAAAAAAAAAAAAAAAAAAAAAAAAAAAAAAAAGAGAAGAAGAAAATTTTGGAGATGAAACGAAATTTGAGTGTGAAATTGCTTAAATTGTGCCTAAGTTTGGGAGAGTGCATCATTCGCGGTCCTAAGCAATTTTCGCGGGCCCGCGGACTCAAACTCGCGGCGTCTCGAAAGGAAGTTCGCGACCTGAGTGTACGAGACCCCAAAAACTCCTCCCTTCTGCGGGTTATTGCTCGCGACCCTAAATTAATTCGCAACGTTGCGGACTCCGATTCGCGACGTCTCCAAATATATTTCGCCACCCCAAATGCAGCTCCAAATTTTCTGCGCCTGTAGGGTCGCGACCCGTAGTGTTTTTCGCGGGGTTGCGGAAATACACTCACAGGCCGGTATGAAATAGACCTTCTAAAACCCTAGCCTTTTTCTCTCTCTTCCCTCACGCCCAAATCGTATCTCTCTTTTCTCTCTCGCCTCGCATCCCCGCTCGGTCATCTCTCTTTCTCTCTTCCGTCGCTTACATCTCCGACGGCCGGCGACCAGCTCTCACCTCCGGCGAGCTCGCCCCTGCTCGAACCAAGCCCGGCGACCGGCGACCGAGCCCTGCACCTCGATTTTCGTCGACGACGCGACCCCCATCCACTGCATCTCATCCCCCGCGACTACGAGCTGCAACCGACCGACCCTGCTTTCGGTCACCAAGCTCCGACCGGACCCCTTTTCCGACCACGGCGACCGACCCCTCTGTTGTCCCGTCGCGAGCCTTCATCTGTCTGCAACTTCCGGCGACGCGAAGCCCGAGCCCAGCGACCCAATTCCATCCGGCAATTTACAGCTCCGACCCTCTGCTGCGACTTCCTTCAAAATTCCGGCTTCCCGTGACGCCCTGCTGCCCGCCCGTCGCCGTCAGCTGCGATTCACCTCCGAGCGCCGACAACTGACATCCGGCGACCACGAACAGCGACCCAATTTCCGACGTGCAGCGCTCCTTCCGGCAACCGTCCTCCGCGCTCCGCTACCGGGAACCGACCCTTTACTGTCCACCGCGTCGGGAACGCACCGGCGACCCGACAACCTTTCTCCGAGCACTTCCATTCCTTTTTCGGTTTCCTAGCTCACGAGGTACTTTGGCTTGCCTATTATTGCTCGATTTATGTCGATTACTAGTGAAAAATAATTGGAGATTGGGACGTTGTTGGATGTTGATTAAATTGGATATTTGGGACTTTGTGTTGATTGATTAAATTTGAGTTTCGATCGGAGTTGGATACTTGTGTGACGTGTTGATTGGTGAAGTATTTGACGATGCCTCCGAAAAAGAGGCAAGCGGCCACTAAAAATACGAAGAAACGAGTAACCGAAGACGTTAGTGAGATGGAAACAGACCTCCGTGTGGAGGCGGATCCGAATGCAACAAAGACTCGGCGAGACGGCCCATTCATTATTTCCGGAGAACGGGAAAGCATGGTCTATGACAAAATCACCCAAATGGACATCCGACCTCCTAAGAAGCTTAAGATGTCCGATTTGTATTTTCTTCAGTTGGAGGAGCGAGTGGTGGAATATTTGAGGGCTTTGCGTTTATACCAATACGCCACAATGGAGCAAGACGCCGTGATCGCTGTGATCATGGAGTTCTATACCACATTGACGGTGCTCGATAAAGACAAACGGCTTGCTTGCCGGCTCCAGGGGAAGGAGGTTACAATTGACTACGCATTGATGAATGAAATCTTTGGCTTTCCAAAGACCGGGCCGAGTGAGGTGCCTAGCGGTTTCGATTTGAATAGCGCTTGGAAGGAGCTGTCGGGGTGCCCCACTCGTGTTGGTGAATTGACAAACGGCTTTATTAAAGATCATGCCTTGGCCGTGGTACACAAGTTTCTATGTTATAATGTGTTCGGGAAGAAGGAAGGAAACAAGGTAAGCCACGATGACATATTTATTCTTTGGTGCGCTCTCCACAAGAAACCGGTATGCATGACTGGATTCATATGGCGGACTTTAACTCGTGTCACAGCACGGAAGCGTTTTGCTCCAGTTTTAGGACATTTGATTACAAGGATCGCGGATCACTTTGATCTCGTATACGGAGAGGAGACCGTCCATGTGAAGTGGATTGATTCGAGGGAGCTCATTAGCTCCCATATTGCTATGGATAGCTCCACACTTCACCCCCATGAGTCCCGCGAATGTGTTATGAACTACTTCAAACGCCACAACTTAGCCGGAGCCGAGAAAGTCGCCATTGAAGGAGCACCTCCCAAGACGCTCGACCTTCCTTCTCTCGAAGGTCCTCAGCCGACCACCGAGACCGCCAATGATGTCCCTTCGATGTCTGGCTACACTACCAACCCGTGGGACGGGTTCGCCGCGCACGTGACCACACTTTTGAATCAAGGGTTTGCTCGAATGGATGCTCGAATTGATGCTAGATTGGAAGCTTTTGCCACTCGGATGACGGCGATGGATGCTAAACTTGATTTGCTTTTGGATGCTAGGGCCCCTGGCCACCCTTTTTCTTCCACTCATGTTGATTCCGGAGATGCACAGTGAGAAATCACTGTGTAGAGTACGCTTTTCTTTTCCTTTATTTTCCTTTTCTTTTCGTTCTATGTGACTTCGTGTTTCAGATGTTTTGTCTACTTATTCCTTTATCTTGTTTTGTTGCTCTGTTGCATGATTGTTGTATGGTTATTTGACTTCTCGTATGCTTTTATGGGCAAGCAATGTGGACATTGCTTTGTTTCAAGTGTGGGGGAGGAATTTGTTTGTTAACTATGCATTGATTATGTGGTGGAGCAGTCTTGTCTTGTGTTTTTTGTTTTCTTTGTTCTAGTTGTACTGTGGACCGGTCTTTGATTTAGGTTTGTTTTGTGTTCGTGTCACTCTTCCACATGAAGTTTCGAGTTTGGTTAGTCGTTTGATTGAATAAACGTGTTTTATTTCATTTTGAAATGTCTTACTTCATGCTTTACAAGGAGTTGAACCCCGGTTATTCTAAGTTGATTGAAGATTTGTTGATGTGGAACACATGATTGAGAGTTACGGTTTTGTTTTGTCCATTGTAAAGCCCGATTGGTTACACTTTGAACTTGTCATCTTTAAGGTTTCATATGTAAAAGCTCGTGTGAGTAGTTTATTCTCGTTACTTGCGCACCGTGAGGTTTGAGTTGATTATATATTGTTGATATTCGCATGGTTGTGTTGTTTAGTTNCAAAACAAAACAAAACAAAAAAAAAATAATAAATAAAAAAAACTTGCGAGTTCGCGAGGTATGTACGGACTATGCTCCTTTTGTCCCGATTCACTTAGTGGAGTGGGATAATGAGCACGGGAAACCGGTTTAGGAAGCTCGAGGAAAACCCTCGAGAGCATACCTAGATAGTAATCGTCCGGAAACCTCGTTTGGAAAAAGATAGCTCACGAAAAAAAAAATATGAGAATAAAAAAAAAGGGGGAAACTTGCTTTTACGCCTTCGATCTTATTACTTATTTATTAAGTTGGCATGATTGTCCTTTGATATTGTTGAAAATATGTTTTCGGGACCGAGAGTATTCTTTTGTAGTATGAGTAGTCTTGTAAAAGATGACTTGTGACAAGTTGATCATGTGTGGACGAACTTTGGACGTGTGTTTATTTTTGTATGATTCAAGATCGTGGGGTACATACCTTCAAATTGAATGTTGACTATAAGGATACCGGGGTAAAATGAGTACGGCATGTTTTGAGACATGATAAATGAATGAGCAAATTTATTTTCTCGAAGGGATAGCGATATTGTTTGCTTGAGGACAAGCAAAAAGCTAAGTGTGGGGGAGTTGTTTGTTATGTTTTTGTGCTTATTTTATTGTGTTTTATTTGCTTTAGTCGAGTCGTTTTTAGGTTCGTTTTAGTGTTAACCGGTCCATTTTGTCGTGTTTTATGTGTTATCGTTTTTGTTACGTGTTTTTGTATTTTGCCATGTTTTTGCGTCTCTTTTGGTG